ATTCATTGAGACATCTAATCATTACCAGATATTACCAATCATCATCTGTTTATCAATCAATCAAAGATAAAACCAATTCGCGCTCACTCGATCCGCTTTCAACCGCTTCTAACCGGGTCAAACTGGATTTTTGCAGTTTTAGCCAGTTTATGGTCCCATATAGATTACAATTACTCTTGATTGGTGTTGATATGTTTGTCTTTGGATTAATTTAAGATTAAACGGATGCCGCGAAGGACAAATATTTTGATGTCACTTCAAATGTTTCTTAATTATACAGTTTGTTTTTAATTTATGAGTTGTGAGCTTTATAGGATGATGTGGTACTTGGAAGTGGTACTCTTGTATCTGGATTAAAGATTATATTGATAACATCGTGTGCGTCACTCCTGTAAGCCTTGAAGGTTGAATACGTTTATTTTGGGATTAATGAAAATTAATGCATTTTGGTGCAGATAGGTTTTTTGTTTTGAAATGAAGTAAAGGTTTAATTTATCAATATAATATATGATGTAGAGAGAAATAGCCAGCGTTATAGCTATTTTTAGAAAATCCCTAAGATATGCGTTACCCGTATACGAACAATATTGGACCTATTTTCTTGTTACCCAGGTACCATGTTTTTCAGTACGTGTTGTTTCATAAACATCGTAATACTGCCTCCTTTCCTACTGATGAAAATCCTGCAAAAATCGTAAAATACAGTTATGTAATTATTTCCTCTGCTTGAGTTTTATAGCGGTCTTATCTCGTTTGGTATTGAACAGCTGTTTGTTACCAAGTAGGTAATGCATAACGTGCCCAGATGTCCCGGTTTGTACAGAACTGGACAGTTTTAACATTTACAAGTCACGTTGTCTCTGAATTGAAGTCTGGGACGGAAAATTGGCAAAAAAAAATTGGGAAGAGTTCAAATAATTCATATTTTCGGCGTTACACAACTCACAAATTGTTAACAAAGTAAACTTTAATTAAAAATAGCGGTTTACTCACGTGAAAATACTGAGAAAAGCTCTTCTAGTTTCGAACCACAGAGGTGTTCTTCCTCATGTATTTTCTGTTAAATTGCAACTAAATACGACAAAATAAAAACATACGTGTCAAATATTTTTTTATTATCTAACTGACGGACTAATTAGATTTTTTAATTTACCTTGGAAACTACCCAATTTTTTCAAAACTTACCCAGTTAAAACTTTTTTCTCCTAGAGTTCGTTGACCCGTGCTATGACGCAGGGTAACCTAGACTGTCATTGATAGAGACCGCTGTTTAAAATAGCTCAGTACTGACTCCTCTACGCCACGTACTCATGTACTAATTATATCATAAAGGTTGCTAGCGTTAGGGTTCTAGATCTTCTAGAATATACTTTAGGTTTTAATTGCGAGGTAATACACCGTGTAATCTATTTCGTTTTCGTTCCGAAGTCAAATGGTTCTGTCTTGGTAATGCAATAGTTTTACAAGGAAATATAATGTTTAAAACAAAAAGTAACTAGTGAACCATTGCAAAATGCAAACTTCGAAAGTGTATACGAACTCATAGTATATCTATTTTATATTTGATGGGCCGACGTTTGACCACTATCGCGTCTGGTGGTAAGGGATGATAGTTGATATTATCAAAACTTCTCTTCAATCAGTACATCATCAAAAATTCTCTTCGAGAAATACATGGCGTGATGTTTCTAATTAGGTGGCACGTGGGATGCGAATAGTGCCTACAAAACGTCTCGTGTTTCATGGAATACATATACATACATAACTTTAATTAAATATAATTCTTTTTTTTTAATTATTATACTTTATATGTACATCGAAAGAAAAATTTGTTTTGTTGCAGGACGATAATAGATTTCAGACGGTATAGAATTCACTCATTCTAGAATTATAGTATACAATTGTACCTCTAGTTGTTGTATTGTCCGATGTTCAAGGGCGTCCGATCCATTTCTTAGAGTAGTGGCAGAATTTTGACTTAATTGAAATGACGTTCCTTATCAATTGGGCGGTGAAAAAAATGGAACTCTGTACTGATATGCAATTGGCAAAGAGATTAGTGATCAGTACAGTGAAAAAGAAAAGGTAATATGTGATACGATTGATGACGTTTAAACAGGCCAGGAAGAAGACGCTATGTCAAGGAAAAATACTCTTTCTCCAAATTTGACTGCAAAAACATATTTTATGCAGTACTTATCACTTCTGTCAGTTCTAGTTCAGCTATTAATCGATCATCAACCTCAAATAGAACTATTTTTAGGTTTCATATTTTTTAGTAATTGGACCTAAAGAGCAATCGCATATAAATAGTTATTGCCTACCAAGATATGATCTATTAATCTACTCGAGTGGGCTCTTTGCGAAGTCGTTGACATTTAACATGTAACTGACAGATACCAGGTGTCAAAACAATAACTTTTTGAACCAACTGTTAATTAATAAGTTAACAAGTAAACAAGTTAGTCATTGTTATAAGTGTTACAATAGTTTCACAATGATAAACAATAAATATTTATGAATTTTGTTGATAATTTTTAGCAGACATAATAATTATGTGATTGGGGTCAGATGATTGTTTAAATTTATTCTATTGATTTATTAAACCTACAATGATGTTTCATCGAAGGTTCAGGGCGCCCACTTCTCATGCATGAGGGTGCAGTTTCGAAACCTACCAACGGTGTGATGAATTGAACTTAGGTTTGTAATTTGATATTCTGTTTAATAATATCAAAATCGAGTCGTGGTGGCCCGGAGGTTTAAGACGCACGCTTCTCATGCATGAGAGAGCGGGTTCGAAACCTACTAACGGCAAGTACCAATGTGACTTTTTCCATTATTCAGATACCACTGACAAACGGTGAAGGAAAACATCGTAAGGAAACCTGCGCTTATAATTTCTAATTCCTATGAGTTTGAAATCGCCAATCCGCATTAAGCAAGCGTTGTGATCAATGCTCAACTCAAACCTTCTCCGTGTGAGAAGAGGCTTTGCTTAGCAGTGGACATTTATAGGCTGTTGATGATAAAGATGTTGGGTTGGGTTATCGGGGCTCCGGCTCAATGTGCAGGAGAAGGAATGGGGTGGTTTTTAGTCAGTAAGAGTCTGACATTCCCTGTCGGCTCACCCAGGCGGGAGCAGTCATTCGATGATTTTCTCCCCTAAAAAAATAGATTAATAAAAGCCCTAGTATTTCAAATATTATTAAAAGAAGATTAATTCGGTGTAGTTTAAATATTTCTTTAAGGTGATACTGAAATAACTTATTAATAAACCTACACTTGAGTAGGTACAATGATTGACATTAGTTGGTATTTTAAATATAGTCACGATTTGGGAATTTCATTTAGCATAAATTCATATGGTTTTATCAAATCTTATGAGGAAAAACGTAATAATTTAAAATAAGCTGCGGTTTTAATTAAACTCGTAAACAATTTGCATTATGTTCAGGTAAAACAATAGTAATAATGAAATATTATTGTGTTATAATTTTATATTTGGTGTAATAATGCAATGAGATGATAAATAAACACCTTCTGGAAGTCCCAGCGTTCGGTTTTCAGTGTGGATGACATTTAATACCTATTATGTTGAAGACGCAACCGCGTTAATGTGTATAGAAAAGTAAATATATTGTATGTATTGGAAAAGGTAGTATTATTATTAGTACCGAAATTTAATCTGTACCTAATATAAAAAACGAGTGTATTTTAATCGACTTTCCAATAAATATAGTTGAAATAGGAAAGTCAAAACTGTACATTGAATATTTTTTTAAAAGAGTATTTGTGATCGATCTACAATCGATATCAAAGAAAAAAATATATAATATAGTTTTTAGAATTTTTGTCTGTTTGTCTGTATGTATGCCCGGGTTAACCTTAAAAAGTACGACATAGATTTACTTCAAATTTTGCGAGAAAATTACTAACAGGTGTAAAGAACTATACAAAGTCACTTTCCACGCGAACGAACTCGCACGAACGAACTGGGCCCACCCAGCTAGTTTCATATATAAATCGTTTCTTCGCACTTTTAAAAGACATAATTCTTAGCTCTAAGTAATAGAGGAGTCTGCGAATTTATAAGATTACATTTAAGAGTTTATTGACCTTCCTTCGAATTGTATGAAATTGTACAGTTTAGAGGAATATCTGGGTTATATACAGCAGGTGATAGGAAGGCCACGCTTAAATATTGGCTTCCGATTCATTGTGGATAATTTGCTATGCTTTTTATTTGAGTGAAAATAAATAGTCTATTTAAGTGTTTTTAAAATTAATTCAAGAAACTTTTGCTTGCATTTGTAGTACCAATTCTTCATGAATGCGAAACAGTCTGGGAATATAAAGGTAGTAATTGTAATAAGTCAGTAAATTATTGGATTTTGTGTTATGACTTCTTCATTGGCCGAGTGGTCGCAAATATGACTGCCGGGCAAGGGGTCTCGGGTTCGACTCGGGCAAAGTATTACTGGGTTTAAAAAAATCTCAGTGGAAGCACGGTGTCTAGAATTGTGCCCGGTATATGGCAATATGCTCTATTACATGGGATTCATAACATAAATAGTAAAAAGTGGGTGTTACATTGTAGAGTGGTATTAAGTGCCGTAATGACCACCTCTGCTTACACCTCCGGTGATAAAAGGCGTGTTATGTGTGACATGGTACATATTGTACATTTTTTAAAATTAACATTTTTGCTAAATGAAATAATATAAGATGTAGATTTTGTACAAATTTACAAACTTAATGATGATCTGTCCTTTTACAAGACAATTCATTACCGTGGTTTAAACTTCACAAAGTGAGGTATAACTTTAGCAGGTTAGTCTAAGACTACCTACTAGACGAGAAATTTTGACCTGAACTTCACGTAATTTTACTTTAGCATAGACAGTGAACTTGATAATTATTATTTCCCTTATCAACTTGGTGTGTGTTTTGTGTGAGGTGTTGGCAACATGTCTGATGTATTTATATATTGTTGGCAGAGAGTAAGGAGCGGGTGCAGAGGGCGCCCTTCGAGACCGCGCTGCATCATGCCGGTGAGTTCACATACATGTATATCTAACATAGTATTACGTGTTTATGTTCACGTATCTACTTTAAGGAAATAAAAGAAAAATTTTGCTTACTTTTCAAATAGGTACAAGTAGTCACTGTGCCACAGGGTAAATCAAACAGTTTCACGATAATTCGCGTGCACATAGGTTGTTTTATGGGACGACGTGCTCTATAGTAGACCGCATCATCGCTTACCACTAGGCAAGATAGTGGTCAAACGTCGCTCCATCAATTATATAAATAGGACTGGAACTTACTAACTGACTGTAACATTTTACGGCTACGATCACACACTTCTTGTTTGTTAATATTATAAAATGTAAGATAAAAGAATCACACACAATTCACTTATTTCATGCAATTTCAACTAACAGGTAAGGGCTCAAGATCAATCTTAACCTTATTTCCAAAAGTCCATAAAGTATATTTTTCTATCAAATATAGTATCGATGTCGAAGTAATCTAGAAATTATAAAGTCTTCCGTTTGTGTCCCTATCAAGCACCGCCAGTGTCGATTAGATCGCTAGACGAGGGATTGACGCCATCGACGGTATACATTATCGGGTTTTCCCTGTTTGCACAGGAGGGGTTTGCTAGCGTGAAGTTTTGTGCTGAAATTATTACGAATTTTTAAAGAACAATTTACTATACTACGTCGAAAATGTAAGGGACTTAAGCACCTTTTGGTTTAATGTAACGTCTAGATAGGAAACTGGAGATTATGTGTCTAGGTTTTGCAAAAAGTATTGTTCTTTGTATTGTCGTAATTTCTAAATTTTTAGGTGTGTTGAAAATCTGTGTAGGTTTCTATCTGACGATCGATTCATTAGGGATACCTAAATTACCATTATATGAATCGTGTCATCCGCTGTGTGGATAGGAGTAGTTGGATATACAAATGCGAAGATTCAGTTGAGTCGCGTACTAAATTGGAGAGACTTACGTGACCCACATCAAGACGCCATGGAAACAGGTTGATGACAACAAAAATTGGCCAAAGTTTGCACCCAGAGTCACGTATTAATAGACGTATCTTTTTTTTGAAGGGGGGAACATCATCGAATGTTTAAGGCGGGAGGGAGTGTCAGACTCTTACTGACTAAAAACCACCCCGTTCCTTCACCTGCTCTTCGAGCCAGGGCCCCGGTAACCCGTTAGGTTCTCTACGACTCCGAATCGGCATCAGCCCTATTGGGCTCCATCCGTGGTGGTCTGATGGCTCTTTGAGGGGCGCGCGGAATGCGACGCGCCGTACGTTCGGGTCTGGTTCTGGTCAGGCGGCGAGTTACCCATGCTCACCATCCGCAGGCCCGCGCTTACGGTGGCCGGAGATCGTCTCGCGATCCCCGACGCCCGGAGTGTCCTTCGCGATGGCTGGGTTGCGAGGAATAGACGCGTTTAGCAAACTGGATTAATATCAATTGTATAAATATCTAGTTTTGAATGCTAATGTACCGAATCGTATATGTAACTGCGGCGGCTAGACGCGACTAAACATTGTCATATTTACAAACAATGTCTAATAAAAGAAACAATAATGTATGTTCGTCTTTTGTTTATGTCTGCTCTATGTCTGCGACTTGAGGTTATCCAGTTTCGATGAAAACAATTTTGAGTTTATATGATTGGGATTTTTTAGTTCGTTAATTAGTGTTTTGGTGGTGTGGGTTGCGATTTTATTGCTGTCGAACAACTGGATAACTTGTAGTCTATGTCTATGTGACTAATAGTATATGCGCTTTCGCCAATATTTTTCTAATTACATACTTGTTTTCGCAATTTCTTCTCTTACGCCTATTTAACAGTGAGAGAAAAAAACTCATTTCCCGTTTCAAACACAATTTTCATGTAATCATGAAAATCACTGAAATTCTCTCGTCATAAAATAGGCCAAATAGCTTGCAATAAATAAAAATGTCACTGTTTTTATGAATTCAAATATATTTTCTTCAGTACTTTTCAGCAATATAAATTATTATTTTCAGTGTACAATAATGCTTTCAGCGGTTTTCACAATTCTCGTTATATCGGGAGCTTTAAAGTTCATTGACCCTGCGCCCACGCAACAACATTGCGCGAGACTCCTGCGCATACAAAGAGAACCTTGGGTAAAAGTGAATTGGCATTTTTACCTTACTTGGTGAAGTATTTTTATTGCTGGTTATTTTTAAATAAGAAATTTTCCTTTTTGCGCGAATTTAGAACTGTCAAATGGACTTTTAAAATGTTCTGTTTCTTTTAGTGGGTATTTAGGTTGCTGTGGATGGGCTTCACACTTATGTATTTTTTATTACATAATGTGGTGTTTATATTCTAATATAAAACTAAGTAAAAAAAGGTAAACCGCTTCCAATGGTTCTTTAAGGGATTTCATTTCCGTATCAAGTAAATTATTATAGAATTTGAATTTTGTGGAGTTCTATAAAGCGCCTGGTCTAAAATTTTGCCATGACCATCCCATACTTGGAGGAATCTTATATTACAGCGAAAAATATCTGCAATCCTACTTACCCTTTCAGGAAAGCAAAGCTGTAATGTTGGCTTAAAACTTTCAACTGTCCATCTGTACATTTCACGGAATCTGTTAGTCTGTCCGTGTCTAATTCCGTCGCTGCGCTCGTAATTAACCTTGTTTCGAGTGTCGGCAGTGTCACGGTTTGTGGGTGAGCAGACTTGCAGGTAAACAGTGTATTAATGAGGATATGTACCTACTGGTCTGCGTCGTTGGCCGAGTGGTCGTAAGTGCGACTGCCGGGCAAGGTGTCTCGGGTTCGATTCCCGGGTCGGGCAAAGTATAACTGGGTTTTTTTAAATTTCTCAGCAGTAGCACGGAGTCTGGAATTGTGCCCGGTATATGGCAATAGGCACACCCCCTATTACATGGGCCTCATAACATAAATAGTGAAAAGTGGGTGTTACATTGTACAGTGGCATAATGTGCGCCTCTGCCTACCCCTTCGGGGATAAAAGGCGTGATGTTATGTTATGATATTATGTACTTACTGGTAAATATTTGGTACTGGTGCACGGATGGTGAAGCTTTTGTGGGGGATATCTAGAAATCTGTAGTTACTATCAATTGTCATAGTCTGATTATTTTAGTTTAGAGTGTACAAGACAGCTATAAATATTTAAAAAAAGGTTTACTAAGGTTAAGTTCTTGTTTTTTATGGCATTAGGTCATGATTAAAGCTTGGGTTTATGTCACAGCCGTGTTATATCTGAGGCAATCTAGACAAGTACCTAGGGCACAAGGTTACAGAGAGGCGCCATGGTACGTGTGCCCAACTGCTTAATAGATCAAGGAGTGCCAGTGCGCGGTGGCACCAAAAAATGTTATGGGCGCCAATTAGGTGTTTGTCTATGACGCTCTCTAGGTTTGATCCGCATCTGGTTTATGTATTATTATTTTATTTGAAAGAAATTATAAATAAACAATCTAATTAAATAACAAACGTCAATTCATAAAACTAGAAAACAGTATTAATAATTAATTCTTAATCACAGCTACACAGCACAGAACCAGTAAAAACGGTACACTATAACAAATTACGGATCAACAGATCGTATAATTTTATAATGAATTACATTAGACCGTGTTTCCAACATGCTGGACACATACAAACATACATTTCGTTAGTTTTACTCGTCTGTAATTGTTATGTATGTGTGCTATTTTAATAATTCCTCGAAGACCCGAGTTGTGCTGAGATTATGTTTTCCTCCTTAGTGCAAAGAATTGTATAGATTTGTTTTCAAAATACGTAAATGTTTGGGGAACAGAGAGTATAGTTCCCTAAGATCGGAAAAGGAGGATCCTCCGACCAGGCGAGGTGATCGTGCCTGGCGGGCTTTCTGCCCAACAGTTGTTCGTTGGGATTTTCTATCCGTGTTAATTTGCATGTAAACTTTGCATGTGCGATGTAGGATTTTTGTGACGTCATCCGTTGACATGTATCATATGTCGCCACAAATGTTTCAGAAATATGCATACACAATAAGTATGTGAGAAGAGCTAATTTAAAGTAGAGGTACATAAACTAGACATACTAATGTCTAATTTCTGTACCTGCCCTAAACTATTAGGGCATGCTCTAGATCGTAATCAATTGGGTTATTATATTAGGCCATGTTTCTTGAAGGTAAAACCTCACATAATGTACATAGATGACGCTTTCACAGCTACTCAGCTAACAGTATCAAAGTAAACAAATTGTAACAATGTATAGTACCTATCGTTTCTCTAAGAAGCAGGACGAAATCTTAAGCAACCAAATTTCCAGTAAACAAAGTTACAATAGGACTTCGAGTCCTCTTAGGGATGTGCCGTAACAGACGTTGCACCGTGGGGGCTCTACACTACGCCCCTTATAAGTGTCGAGGATGGCCGCCGGGGTGGTTTTAGTCATTCTCCTCAAAAACCTAGGCGCCTTTTGAAGGTTTCCCCCGTCATCAAAAAAAGTACTTTCAGTCCTATAGCCATATATATGTCGCGGAGAACCTAACGGGTAACCGGGGCTCCGGCTCGACGTGCAGGAGAAGGAACGGGGTGGTTTTTAGTCAGTAAGAGTCTGACACTCCCTTCCGCCTCACCCAGGCGGGTCATTCGATGATTTTCCCTCCTTAAAAAAAAAAGTCCTATAGCCAAGTTTTCCACCAAAAATCAACCAGGCTTTAAAGATAACTAGTAACACCCGTTTAATACGCCATAAATCACTAAGTTATACAGCATTTGAGAGTAAGCAGGTTTCCCCGATCACTGTCAAGACAAACTGTTTATATTTCTTTGTTATTCTCATTGTAAATCTTTTTTACCGTTTTGTTTTTACCGCCATATTGCCTGGTGTAATGTGACGTCATCGTTTAATTATTGCGTGCACGTGGCATTTTAATTGTTTTCTTTTTTAGATATTTAAAATAGATTTGTTTAGTTAGATTGTGTTTTTTGTGGTGCTTCCTCAGTACTGTAGCGTGGTATTG